ATATATATAGATATATATATATAGAGATAGATAGATAGATAGATAGATAGATAGATAGATAGATAGATAGATAGATAGATAGATAGATATCACACACACATGCAAATACATATGCACAGTATCTATCTATCTATATTCTTTAAAGCAGGCCATACATGAAAATGCAAGGTATGCTTTTGTACCAGTCCCACAACTTGGGAGTTGTGAGGTTGCTACATAGGCAAACCTTGCATTTTCATACAAGGTCTTCTTTAAAACCCAAACTAATTAACGGAAATGAATATTGTTAGATAGACACTGATAGATAAACACAAAAATGCACAGTGAATACTCTTAAAATATAAAACACTGGCGAGTGTGGCATCACTGGGCCTTTTTGCAGGATCCTGGGAAGGCTGACAATCCCAAATTCGACTGGAGTGTGCTTCTGCGCAGTGATGGGGTGTCATCTCATGAGATTTCATCCAATCACTGCATGCAATCTACAAGTTTTGGTGGAACTACCCATAGCTGCAATAAGTTTTACATTCTGGGTCCATTCCTTCATTCTCATGGTTTCCAAACCCTGAGAAAGGAGGTTGTGTCTGCCCCTGAAACGCATTGGCTGTTTGATTAACACAATTATTAAACTTTCTTATGGACTCCAACATCCGCTGTGGTCTGGTACTCTTCTGTTTTCTGATATCATGAGATTTGGGAGGCCTACACTGGTGCCTACAGAAAGCAGAATTAACAACAACAAAAAATTCTCTAGATGTTTTTGTTGTATACCTTTTATTGAGTGTTTTCTAATTCAATGGATGGGGGGTGCTGCAACATTTTTTTATTTAGTTTTATATATAGTAAAGAAGGCTTAGAAGCCTTGTAAGTTTCTTATTGCTGGAGACTCACCATCTCTATTTACCATGATGACCATAGTCACTGGTACTAAAAGGGAGGGGGAGAAAGAATCAAACAATTCTTTGGTTGTCACTGATTCGGGAATAGTAGTGAAATCTTCTAATGGGGACCTTTGTTAAGGTCACAGCTTTCTAGGAGAAGAGAGATCTCCCCCCAATCCCTGTTGTGTCTAGAAGTAAAGGAAAATCTCCCCAATACAGCACAGAAACCAAAGAACAAAATATTTTTAAGGGGTTTTAACCATTTCCTACTCGATTCAAAACTAAAGAAGAAAGTTCTGGCTTTGGACATCGTTTAATGCAAAAAGAACTTGGGTACTTGAAAAGACCTCACCTCACTTGAAACAACATCGCTTTCCGAAAATTGTGCTGGTTGAAAGGGTGTTGATTCTGGTACTGGTGCTTTATATATGTCATCTCTTGATTTCCCAGTGTCCACTTGATCAGGCAGCGAATCAGGAGGACATGCTGAAGCCGGAGCTGGTGGAGGGCTTTGTGTAGTGGGAGCTCTAGATAGGGCAGATGGATCTCTGCTATCTTGGGGTTGATGATTCAGTCTTGATACTTCTTCAGGCTGGGCCTGGCTAGGAAATGAACCCACTGAAGGACCTGGCTGTGGTTCCGGGTTGCTGGGAAGACTTGCACAACGCTGTAGAACGTCCGGTTGAGGAAGGTCATTGTGGTTGTTCGGAAGAGGAGGAAGTGAGTGTGAGGGAGGTTCCCAAACTGAAAGCAAACAGATATGCAAATACGGCTGGTGAGGTTATAAAAAAACACAAATCCACTGATACCAAGTACCGTACTTGGTACAAGTACAAGGACAAGTATTGATACTTTTCCATCTCCAAGACTAGAGAAAAACTCAAACGTTAGGAGGCAGCTGTCATTTTTAAGAAGCATACGGGGCTCCTGGGATTTGTGAATCCCTTTGTGTGTGTGTGTATATATATATATATATATATATATATATATTTATTTATATTATTAGGGATGCACTGATACCATTTGTTCCAGACCAAGTACAAGTACCGATACTTGTACAAGTACTCACAGATACTCACAGATACAAGTACTGATACATTTTTGACAGTTTTTCTAAAACAATACAGGCCAATGATTTCAGGACAGTGGTGGAGCGCCAGGGCCCAGTCACAGCTGCCACCGCTGCGACCCTGGTAGTTCGTGTGAGATCGCCAAGTATTGGCACCTATACAGATACTGGTATCTGAACATCCATATTTCAAACCTTTACCAAATAATACTACTAATAATAATACATTCAAAATCCTGGTGGAGCCAGGGCACGGCAAACCTTTAAATAAACCATACACCCTATAGGGATGATATACCATTTTTAGAATACTTAAAGTAAACCTATGCAGGTAAAAAAAACAAGGTTTACTTAAAGTTGAAATTGGGATTTAAAAAAAAAAAATACAGCAGCAGTAGGGCTCTTCTGCACTGCAAGTGTTAAATGATGTTAAGTCTATGGGTGGAGGCACAAGATGTAATACGTAGCTTATTCCTTGTTCCAACAGGATTTCTGGCACTCTAGAATGCTCCAGGTTTTGGGTGGCTCCCTGGAACCCTCACATACAATGCAGGACTATCACAGTACAATACATTCACCCAAAAGTGATTTCTCAGTGTATGGTAGATGCCGGGGGGTTAAACCACCTAATGTTTTTCTCTATCTCTGAGGGACACTATTGTTAAGATCTCAGCACTGAGTTCCGGGGTCTGCATACCTGCTGTGCCCGTTAAGTGGGGGTCTCCATTCCCTCTGCCACATTTTTATAATACCAAGAATGCAGCAGAAAGGGCTGAAACACACAATTGTGGGTGGGGACACACAAAACTCCCATGCAGACATGAGTCAGGAATTATCTCATGGCAGAAGTATCCAAGACATCGAGGAAGAGAAGAGCTGACTTAGCCTACCAGACTCCACCTATAACAAGCATACCACTCATGGGCCTTTGATAGCTGCGTGCACTCCTGACTATTATTATTATACAGGATTTATATAGTGCCAACAGGTTGCCCAATGCTTTACAAAATGTGACGTACTGACGTAGGTAATGACGTAGGTAATGATGAAATTAAATAAATAGAAATTATGAAAGAGGCCTCTCTTGCAGCTCTGGTCCCAGAACCCCTGAATGGTAGAACAGGTAAATCGGCGCTCGGAGGGGCATGAGTGCCGGAAGACTTTACTGCAGGCAAAAGTGATGGTCCTGATGACAATCTTCTGGGTGAAGACAACGAAAAATATGCAGATCAGCAGAAGCAGTGCAGGAAGAGCCGATGTTACCTGCTAGCCGAGTCAAATTGTGCAGGCGATGAGGTACCAAATCAGTAGGCAGGATTGTAGTAAAGGGCAGGCTGAGGTCAGGAATGTGTGGATAACGCAGTACAGGTCAGCTGGAAGAAGCGAAGTCAGGAACTAGCCATGGTCAGGGAACACAGAGGATCAGCAGAATGCTCAGGGTGAGCTGGGTCCATATCAGGAAGCAGGGTCAGGATGCAGGAAGCTAATGATCACTCAGCACAGAGCATCTGGGAGTCACAGCC